GTGAGATCACACAGTGCAGGTGTGACAGTCAGGGAGGATGGGAATATCTGGACAGATGGTGTCAGTTTGAGAAGGTCCTTAGGTACTCGGCGGATCAAGAATGATTGTCGCGTTACTTTAACTTATCCAACTGCAGATTATCAATTTGATTGATTAGTGGCTCCCAAGGCGTTGACGCGACACTTTTTTGCATGATGCGACACTTTTGCAACACCTTTGTACACTCACAGACAAAAATAAATTTTACTGGGAGGATATTGCTCTATAAAGATAAAGATCAAAATAGACGTCAAAGAGCCATAGATTTGACCCAGCCACTTTGCCAGTTAAACATCTCTTTGGCAGATTGTGAAGATTCCATTAGGTCCCTTGTGAATCTCATAGAATAAAGTCCGCCCTAGACTGACGAGGACCATTATCCCGAAACCATGGTCTCTAGGTGGATGCTTCTCAGTTTGCCAAAGCTGGTGTTGTGGCTTTGTCACCGACCCGAGGCCGCTAATTTGCGGAGACGGTCAAGAGATGGCGTCTAGTTTTGACGTCTATTTTGACGGTTGAGAGGTGACTTTTATCAAACTTAAGGAGGTTTCATATTCTCAGCATAAACCACTCCTTATTTGCTTATATAACGGCAGATTTCCCATATATGTAAATTCGAAAATGTTCTCCTTAAAAATATAATAACATATATTTTCGGTAGCCTACTGGACATGGCATCTGCCCGGTAAGCGGAACACTGTGGGTTCGATTCCCATCCCTGGACACTTTTATTTTTCCGTTTATCATTACTCTTCACAATTCATCCTTTCATACTTCATCCCTAAGGTTAAAAATAATCGTTATTTCTCCTTAAAATAAATTTTGACTTTTCGTTCAAAAGAAACACATGCGGGATAATTTTCAAATGTCATTTTACCATCACAAGCCGCATTATATTATATTGTATTATAAATAACATATATAATAATAAAAATAGACATGGTAAAAGGTACAACTTCCCTAAGTTTTGTCCATGAGTGTATGTTACGAGAGCCCCTGAGGGTAAGAAGATTGTCTTCTTCAGTTTATCTGTTCATAAGTTGTTCCTGTTCTCCAGTGACACCATAATTCTCTATCTCGATAGCTACTTTTACTTCTTGATGGCTTCCATCCAGTCCATCAGTCCAATTCTTCCTGTATTCCGTTCTCTCTTACCATTCATTGATCTCTTTACAAACTCTCTTCATTAATCCATATAGCTCACCCAAATATTTTGTCTTTCTGTTTTGTGATGACTTAAAAAAGCTAATCTGATAATTCAATATACAAATAAAAATTTAAATATTTGCAGAGGTTCTTTTATATAAAGATAAAGCTGGTGTTGTGGCTTTGTCACCGACCCCAGAGGCAGCTAGTTTGTGGCGACGGTCAAAATATGGAATCTAGTTTTGACGTCTATTTTGATGGGAGAGGTGACCTTTTATCTTTATAGATCAATATCCTCTCGTAAAAACTTTCACATCTAGAGTTTCTTTTATTAAAAAAAAAAAAAAAAAAAAAGAAATCTTTCACGCCTTTGCGCTTTATCAAACCACTGGCTCTTTAAAGGCATGTAACACACTTGCAACTATATTACAAGCATGCATTTGAGTATTGTTATACTTTTATAGAAACAAACGAAAAGAAATTATATTAACAAGTGCTTCTTTTTTTTTTTAAGTGATTGATTCCGTTTCACTTTTCTTTCAGTCATACCTGTCTTCATAGAAACTCCCTGGCTTTCGTCATATCCTGAATTTGGATATGGTAACAGATTTTTTATTTTTGATATTTCTATTGTAACAACAATTTCATCTTGAATATTAAAATCTCTCTATTCAGAGACACTCTCTCCTTCCATTGATTGCCATCGTGTATACTCTTAGACGATCCCAGCATTACGTGGATGGTTGAAGAGGTCTCCTGGGTTTTGATACCACCTTTGTATTCCAGATTGTAGTGTGCTTGCCACGTGGCCTTCAAGTCTTGCCACACTTTCCTTGCATTGTCCATTGGTCGCTAATTGATCGTTCTTTGTCCCCGGCAGGTGTCTTCTTGGCACGTCCGGCTGACTGCTTGCTCTCCTTGTCTACCATACCCCATGGTTGTCCCGCCCTAGAACTCCCTATGGTCTCTGTTTGTCCTTTCATCCCAATGTCCCCTAGCGACTTGTCCACAACATCCTCTGGCTCTCCCGTCCTATCATCTCATTGACTTCTGGTCACCTCGCCGGGACCCTCGCTGCCTTGATATACAGTATATACACTCATGGACAAAACTTAAGGAAGTTGTACCTTTTAGCATGTATATCTAGATTCAAACAATAACTCTGAAAGATATTACAGTGACCTTTATTGAGGACACACGAGATAACCAATATACACTCATGGACAAAACTTAAGGAAGTTGTACCTTTTAGCATGTATATCGGGATTCAAACAATAACTCTGAAAGATATTACAGTGACCTTTATTGAGGACACACGAGATAACCAATATACACTCATGGACAAAACTTAAGGAAGTTGTACCTTTTAGCATGTATATCGGGATTCAAACAATAACTCTGAAAGATATTACAGTGACCTTTATTGAGGACACACGAGATAACCAATATACACTCATGGACAAAACTTAAGGAAGTTGTACCTTTTAGCATGTATTTCAGTATTCAGACAATAACTCTGAAAGATATTACAGTGACCTTTATTGAGGACACACGAGATAACCAATATACACTCATGGACAAAACTTAAGGAAGTTGTACCTTTTAGCATGTATTTCAGTATTCAGACAATAACTCTGAAAGATATTACAGTGACCTTTATTGAAGACACACGAGATAACCAATATACACTCATGGACAAAACTTAAGGAAGTTGTACCTTTTAGCATGTACAAGGTATGTCCCATAAGTTCCCGGACTGGGTCCATAAAAAAAAAAGGTAAGATTTTTTTAAATTTTTTTATTAAAACTTTTCAAAGTAATCCCCCCTTGCTTCAACGCACCAGCGCCATCGTTTCTCCCAATTGTCGAAACAGTTTTTATAAGCCTCTTTTGGAATGCTCTTCAATGCTAACGGCGATTTTTCTATTATGTCATCCCTGGTGTCAAAATGTCTTCCTTTTAGAACTGCTTTAAGTTTGGGGAACAGGAAAAAGTCATTTGGTGCGATGTCTGGGAAATAGGGTGGTTGAAGTAGGATTTGTGTCCCGTTTTTTCGCCAAAAAGCTAGTCATCAAGTGCGCTGTGTGAGGGCGAGCATTGTCATGGTGTAGGATCCAGCCACCATTAGTCCATTTTTCTGGCCTTTTTTTCCGAATCGCTTCCCTTAGACGGCGAAGAATGCCCAAATACATATCCTTGATAACTTTTTGGCCTGCAGGAAGATACTCGTGATGAAAAATGCCCTTTTTATCCAAAAAAGCGACCAGCAACACCTTGTTTCTGGATTTCAATAATCTGGATTTTTTGGGTCTAAGCTCACCCTGACATCTCCACTCGGCAGATTGATGCTTGGTTTCAGGATCATAGCCATAGACCCATGTCTCGTAGCCTGTGATTATCTTGTCTTTCCATTCCGGATCCGTTCTTGTCATTTCCAACATGTCCTCACAGGTTGCAAGCCGACACAGTTTTTGCTCATTAGTGAGGAATCTTGGGATGAATTTTGCAGGAGTCTTTTTGATTTGGTTACGATCCTTCCAATCGTTGTTTTAGAGATGCCTGTGTCTTGCTCTAGCTCCAGCAAAGTGGTTCGAGGATTTTCTTTTATCAAATCGGTGATTTTTTGCACATTTTCATCAGTCCTTTGAAATTTTTGGGCGTCCTTGACGAAGATCATCTTCAATGGAAATTCTGCCAGCTTTAAATCTAGAATGCCATTCAAAAACAATTGTTCTCTTTGGGGAATGCTTTATTAAGCATTTAAAAAGTTTCGGTTGCTGATATTTGAAGTTTCACACAAAATTCTATGCAAATCCTCTGCTTCAATTTTCGTTCCATCGTAAAATCTCCGCAGCGCTATGTGTAACCTTTAAATAAATTAGAATAACTTTGGGGCGCGTGCACGTACCGCCTCGATATTGGTACCACCGTGTAGCCAGATATTTTTTCTATAATAAACAGTCAAATTCATTTACATTTTCCATTTATTTATTTTTTTATGGACCCAGTCCGGGAACTTATGGGACATACCTTGTATTTCAGTATTCAGACAATAACTCTGAAAGATATTACAGTGACCTTTATTGAAGGCACACGAGATAACCAATATACACTCATAGACAAAACTTAAGGAAGTTGTACCTTTTACCATGTATTTCAGTATTCAGACAATAACTCTGAAAGATATTACAGTGACCTTTATTGAAGGCACACGAGATAACCAATATACACTCATAGACAAAACTTAAGGAAGTTGTACCTTTTAGCATGTATTTCAGTATTCAGACAATAACTCTGAAATATATTACAGTGACCTTTATTGAAGGCACACGAAATAACCAAATGTGAACAAAAATACCTCTCTCTGTTTTCTCCTTCAATAAAAAAATAGACTATCGACGATATAAAAGACTTTCAACTTTCTTAAGTTTTGTCCATGAGGGTAAACTTTGAATCCAAGAATGGTTTCTGTCCGTTTCTCGCCGAACATACTACGCTCGTAACCAGATGGGAAGTGGCAGATGTAAAGTACAAAGACAATCAGCAGTGGGCACGGGAAGATTTGTCCACATAGACCAATAGGACACGATGTCAAGGTCTCAGTGGCAGGTGGGCGTGTTGACTCAACCAGCTTAGCGCTTCTCTTCACGCCGCTGCACACTTCACTTGCGTCATCGTCGGATCATATTCCCTGACCGACGTTCGATTGTTGGCGCATTTCAAGAAATATAGGATAGTTTTGCTAGCCTGGTTCGAATCCCAGCCTTATCATTTGCTCTATTGGATCACTATGATGCAAGGTACATATTCTTGTTAGCTAGGTTCGAATCTCAGCCATATCTCTTTAGTGACATTAGATCACTATCATGCAAAATCCATATTCTTGCTAGCCAGGTTAGAATCCCGACCATATCTCTTTGTCTTTTTTTACATTAAATCACTATCATGCAAGATCCATAGTCTTGCTAGCCAGGTTAGAATCCCGGCCATATCTCTTTGTCTTTAGTTCCATTGGATCACTGTCATTCAAGATCCATATTCTTGCTAGCCAGGTTAGAATCCCGGCCATATCTCTTTGCCTTTTGTTCCATTGGATCACTGTCATTCAAGATCCATATTCTTGCTAGCCAGGTTAGAATCCCGGCCATATCTCTTTGTCTTTTGTTCCATCGGATCACTGTCATTCAAGATCCATATTCTTGCTAGCCAGGTTAGAATCCCGGCCATATCTCTTTGTCTTTTGTTCCATCGGATCACTGTCATGCAAGATCCATATTCTTGCTAGCCAGGTTAGAATCCCGGCCATATCTCTTTGTCTTTTGTTCCATTGGATCACTGTCATTCAAGATCCATATTCTTGCTAGCCAGGTTAGAATCCCGGCCATATCTCTTTGTCTTTTGTTCCATTGGATCACTGTCATTCAAGATCCATATTCTTGCTAGCCAGGTTAGAATCCCGGCCATATCTCTTTGTCTTTTGTTCCATTGGATCACTGTCATTCAAGATCCATATTCTTGCTAGCCAGGTTAGAATCCCGGCCATATCTCTTTGTCTTTTGTTCCATCGGATCACTGTCATT